GTATTCTTCGGCCGTCAGGAACCGCGCCGTACGGCACATGTGGTCACATTCGGGTGAGAATCCATTCAAGTGCCCGCTCTGTGACCTCCGCTTCCGCGACAAACGCCATCTCAACAATCATATGTCGACCCACAACACAGTGTCCATCAGAGCCGCGGCCAAGAACTCGTCGCGAGAGCCCAACGCTAAGACTAAAGTGAAAGCAAAGTCGCCAATGAAATCGCCGCTGAAGTCACCCGTATATCGGGCGCGAGGGTCCGGAGATGTGGTCTGTCCCGAGTGTGGGAACCGATACCAAGACTACGCGCTGTTGACGAGACACATGAAGAAACAGCACGGCTTGAAGAAGTGGCAGAAGTATCGACAACTGGGACAGCAGTTCCTGAAGCAAACCAATGGTCCGACCGCTGCGGTCGCCAAGAATAATGGCAATATTCTGTGTCCCGATTGCGGTAAAACCTATCTCGGGATCAAATTACTGCTCAGACATATCACACGTACTCACGGCTCGGACGTTGCGGACAAGTATCGGCTGAACAATGGTCTCGTCAGCCGTAAAGCGGCGGCTCTCGAACCCCAAGCGGTGAATTCGGCGCTCAATTCAGTCGCTACGGCTATCGTGTCGGCGAATGTGGGCAACAAATCGCGACCAAAATTGGTCGTAAAATCAGCGAACAAATCAGTAAAAGTGATGTCAAACATACGAAAAGTGATCCAAAAGCCAATCCCAATGACTCGACGCCACTTGTCATCGGAGGAGAAGGAGTGGAACTGCGATTACAATTTGTGTCCAAGAAGTTACAACTCGAAGTACAATCTAAAGAGACATCAGATCGAGATTCATAAGCGTTTGTCCAAAAAATTGTTTTACATGACATCGAAGAATGAGAAGACTGTCAAATATTTCATACCAAAGACTGGTAGCACTGCCGCCGCCGCCGCCCTCACTGTCACAGCCGTCTCGGAGCCAACTGGTGCTAAAACTGCGGCCATTTCGGGCCCGAAGAGCACTCAAATCGCTAGCGATAAGGCGTTTAAGTGTAATTTGAAGGGCTGTTTGGCCAGCTATCAGACAATCTCTGGCCTCTATAGGCATAAGAAAGTAAAACACAACTCAAACAAACCGTTCAAATCGGTATCAAAATTGGCCAAAACCCAGGCGTTAGGAGTGACCATCAAATGTGAGATAATTATCACTAATTGTTTATTTTAATTCAATATTTATGATAGACTTTGAGTTTTATATGAAATCAAATGTCAAATATTTACATTGTTTTGATTTACTTACAGATAAGGCAGCGATTAGACCGAAGTTGAGTGTCGACGAAGAGAACCAATTGGTGGCCACAGAGGAGGACAAGGAGGAGGAGGTGACCGAGTTTTTGTGCACTTATCCTAACTGTGCGTTTAAGGCGTTGGGCCGCAAAACACTTATCCAACACTTTCCCACACATTTCCCGGGCGAAGACAAGCCGTTCAAGTGTGTGATGACTGACTGCCACTACGCGGCCAAAGTGCTGTCCAAACTTAAACAGCATGTCCTCAACAGACACTCTGAGCAGCAGTTTATTAAAGCCATGGACGCCACGGGTATTCGCTACCCGTCCTGGTATTGATCTCAATTCCCGCTAAGCATTACACCTTTCCCTCTACCCTTAGTCTCTCTCTCTCTCTCTCTCTCTCTCTCTCTCTCTCT